GCTTTTGGAGACGTAAAGGTGGCTGGCGAAGTCCGGCAGGTTTTGGGTGCTGGATCCCTGGAGGATCACTGCGTAAGAGGGATCCAACTTCTTCAATCTTTGCATCCTTACCATCATCCTTCCCCCAAGGACTCTGTTCACTTGCTTCCAGGGTCCCTTTGACAAGGGTGTTTGGGGACCATGAGAGCGGCATTGCTTGAACAAAATGGTTTGCTTAGGAGTGACTATATGGAGAAGTGCGGCGATTATGCCCCTTGGCGGAAAAGTTTGGGCTGCTGGCGATCTGTTCATTTTCAATCTACTGTGCCCATATGACAAAAGGGAGAATCTGAATCTTGATTGGGTTCGTTATTGATTCCCCCTTGCAAATGAATGAGTTTGTGAGAACCTCCATTTGAGATTCACTCAGGCAACTTTCCACCAACCTTAGCCATGTGTTTGTCAGACGTGACTTTGCACGCTGTGATGGTAGCTGCACGACAGGTGCGCGTCTGCCTAAAAGATGGCTTGGCCAAGGGAGAAACCATGCATAAATTATCATAAATTTCATATATACATATGAAATCTGTGTCTTGGCCCGTACGTATGAGCTACCTTCAAATTTGTCCTCCCCTCTTTTCAAAAAACAACAAATCAGAATTCTGTCTCTGTTCGGATGCACAAGAAAAGCAAACAACACCGGTTTCTTTGGGAGTTGTCCCCAAAACGAAAACGGCCGACCGGACCCTTGGCCGAGGATTGCACCTGCTGCTGGGAGATCGCCGAGGGCCGTTTCGAGCCCATCGTGGACGCGCCGGGGGAGATCCAGGTCGACCGGTTTCGGGAGATGGAGCGGGGTAAGGGTGGCTTTGTGGTGGGGCATTGCCTTTGGGTTCAAGGAGGGTTAAGGGAAGCGAAGGGAAGTAGGGTAAGTAAGGGGAATCACAGGTGAGGTGAACGGTTGATGATTGAGGGGTTTTCAAACATGGAGTGTATATCCTGTATAGGCTTTAGGCTGCAGAAGCGAAGCCACCGATTTGGTCCGAGCAGCGCGCCAATCGGAACTGCAAGAGAAGGGCGCTGGTTCTTTTTGAGCAACCATCATAAGCAAGGTTGGCAAGCCCACGGCCAAAGGCCCCAATAAAACAAAGTTGGCAAGCCCACGGCCAGAGGCTTGGAAGGCATCCTTCACCAAGCCCTTCCCCCATCTATTTCTGCGCGCAAGTGCGGTCGGAAAGAAGGAGCAGCTTATAGAAACCCAATGAAACAAGGTCGGCAAGCCCACGGCCACAGGCCTGCTGCGTGAGAGGTCAGGCGGCAGCTTCCAAACCCACTGAAACAAGGTTGGCAAGGCACAGGCCACACCCAAAGGCACTGAATGGACGCAGGCAGGCGCCGTCGGCGGATATCAGATCCCTCTAACTGCTTTCTTCAAAAAAGTGTTCGAAATTAAGAGTCCCCGCGTTTCCAAGTGACCTTTTCGAAGCCAGTGGTTTTCAAACGGTCACCTTGAAGAGCCCGGAATGAAAGATAAATGCAACATAATTACGACATCCAAGTCGCCTCTCCCCTCATCAATCACTTTTTCCAATCTTTCCGGAACCCTGCACAAACAGTCACGAGTCCCAGCAGTCACATGTTGTGGTAGTGTTTAGTCCCATTCAGGGAGTGGATAATGGGCACTCCTATCCTCCATTGAGCACCCCTGTGTAACTCCTGGTCATGAATGAATGTGTTTCTCACCTTGAGAACCCAATCAAATTCGTGAACCCAATCAAAGCAAACAAAAAAGCAAATCTCCAGAACATCCACCACCAACAAACTGCTAACTGGTCACCCATGACTTCCACCATCCACCTGCGCCTTGCCTTTAGCGCCTCCCCTTGGCCACTCGATCGGCCAAATGCGCCAGGTCACGTGGTCCGGTTGGGCTGAGCTCCGTCACCGCAGCACCGAGCCCTTTGGCCCAGGCGAGGTGAGTGAGTCGGGGAGGGAAAAGGAGAAGAGTGGATTTGGGGGTTCAGTTTCATGATTGCAGGTGTCAATCTTTTGGTTCAGTCTTTTGGCGGTGTCAATTTTTGGAAGGTCTTGGTTTGATTGGGAATGACCTGGAAACCCAGGAAACCAACCAGAAACAGTTCTGGATGGAACTCCCCAGTCCCAGCCACTTCCAAACAAAGGATCGAACAATTGCCTACCAGAAAGGTGTTCAGCTTCATGATTGGGATTGATATACCAGGAAATGCATGGCCGCCAATGAAACAGCGGCCATGCATGCCCCAGACACGACCCGTTTGGGGCGGCTACCGCGGCTACCACTTACCAGGACCTTCCTTTCACCCGGTGGTTTTTAGGACATTCAGATATAGAGGCTCTTAATTAGACACCTCAAAGCGAAGGTCGTGGTACATCGTGGTCCATGTTTAAATGACCAGAAAGAATAGGAGGCCTCTTAGTGAAAAACATGTTTTATTGTCATTTCATATCTTTGGTCCCACATGTGCCGGGCACGTGTATTTTGGGGCCACTTTCTCGCCCCAGCCTCCTCTCGTCGGTCGATGTTCTGAACCGAAGTTGGTTGGTTTGGTCGGTTTCGCTGGAGGGAGGTAGGTTTTTACCTTTCTTTTTGGAACACATTGCCATGTAGGCAAATGCGCCAGTCAGCCAGTCAATTGCCAGTCAATTCCCAATATATGTCCTAACGCCAATGATTTTGTTTTTTGCGTGCGTCAGAGAGTTACAGTAGCAACAACTGGTTGGCTAGAGTAGTTCGACACTCTTCCCCTCACTGACTCAGTGAAAGAGGCACCAGTTTTTCAGGAGGAAAGGAGGAAAGGAAGAGACAGTTTTCCACTTCCATGTCGAGTCGCCCAGACGTTGAAGTACGCAGTACGGCCGGTGCGGCCGAGTTTTGAGTGTTTGAGTCGATACAATACTAATACCCAGACACTTCATGGAATATCTACCTAGCACTTTGCCTCTCACTCACACTCACACTCTCACTCACTCTCACTCACTCTCAATCACACTCTCACACTCTCACTCACACTCACAGTCATGAGTGTGACTCACTCACTCCCTCCCTCCCCCCGCCCGCCCGCCGGCGCTCGCTCCTCCCTCCCTCCCTCCCTCCCTCCCTCCCGCACTCACTCACTCACTCACTCACTCACTCACTTACTCACTCACTCACTCACTCACCGCCACCATCATCACCACGATCTCCACCTTCATCACCACCATCACCTCTTTGGACCCCAATTAATGCGTCTAGATCTCTAGACTTTCTGCTGCTACACCTCCTAGACCTCACACACACTGTTTGGGGTCTCTTGCCGGGATATTTTTTACATTTCGGGAGATCAAGTTCCTGCTCAACCGGTAGAAAGAGTTTAGCCTTGGTGCAGGTGAAGGGGTCACAAAAAATGATGTAGGTTTGCACTGCAGTCTACTACTTTGAGCATGCAAATACTTTCTGGCTGCGAATCCATTACCAAAGCTTACTATAGGACTATAAGTATAAACCACCTTTCTACCAGAAACATCCCCAGTGTACCCCGTCATGGCTGAAACAAGTTTGCTGGTTCACTGGTTGACCCCCCTCGAAAACGAACAAAACCGAGCCTCGCGTGAACTCCTGGCATCGTCGCGGAAGTCCCCGCCGTCGCAGGGACCATCACCAAAGACTGGGAAGCGAAAGTCATTGATGAAAAAATCCGAAGGGGCCCTGCAGTTCCTTGGCAGAGATACTGTTCCTTTACGGAGCGTACTCAAGGGTTCCAGCAAATGTCTATACCTGGGAACTCCACCTGTGCATAAACTGAGACTTAAGTTATATTCGCCGTTCCAGAAAAAATTGTCCTTTCAATTGAAAAAACACTCTTTAAGCTCAATGACCAGCATCCCAGTGTGAAAACATGTGAACACCCAAGTTCAGCATCATGTTCAGACATGTTAGTGATACCAAACGCTCGAAAGCAGAACAATTTGTCGTTTTCCTTGAGAGAGCATAAATGTTGCAGCCACAAGAGTCTACAGGTATGTTTACTGGGTGTGGAACATGCGCTCAACTAGCACTAGCTAGGATTGCTGTGTGTTTTATTGGCTCATGTTTGCTGATTTGAATACGTAAATGGATGTTCCTGATGTTCTTTTGACTGGAGGACCACTACTATGAGTGCCTTTAGAACCCAGCTTTACCATGTTTTGCATCCTCAGATCTCCAAATCTATCCCCAATTCATTCCTTCGTTCAACGGTTGGAACGGTGATCGAGCCCCGCTCCCGAGGTGCTGGTGCCCACGGAGCAAGGACGCTTGAGCATTCCGAAGCTCTGCGAAATTTGGGCGAAGGAAGGCGCCGGTGTTCCCTGTGGTGTCGTTCTTTTTTGGTTCAGTGCACAGATGGATTGGTGCTTCGAAGGGTGCAGACGGCGGGGTGTGGAAGAAACATGCTAGCAAGTTAGGTTGTGGTTCGGGTGTGGACCGGTGGCCAGGAGAGGGTGTCTTACAGAGCCAGCTCCTTCAAAAGGTATATGTTTCTGCGCGTGCATCATGTGTGATGTGTGTAAAACGAGGAAGCTTTCAAGTGGCCGCAGCCCAGAGAATCACAGGCAGCCACTATTTCTATATAGGGATCCACATACCTTCTCAGAAGGCACTTGGGCTCTCCAAGCGACATATATACGACAAATATAAATCCTATCCAATCACCTTCTCAGAAGGTATGTGGATCCAGAAGGACTTTAATGGGAACCAGTCTGTGGTTTGGTTGTCCTTAGAACCACTGTACTGGGACTCCCAGCGACATGGTGGCTACCTTTATCATTTGTTGCAGAGAAAGAACCAAGGAGAACCTGCAATCGCCCGACAAAAAGGCACTGGAATAAAGAAAAAAAACAGTAGCTAGCATGCTCTTCACCCACCCTGGTTTCTGGTTCTTCCATTTTCGCCCCCCCAGCCCTGCCACGGCGTCACCGAAAACGAAGCTCCTCACCGAACACGATTCACTCACACACCTCCGCAGGCAGCGGTGGTGTGGGCTGCGCACGGTCGAAGAGCCTGCGCGTGACCTGGCTGCTTAGGGGTGACCGGCGTGATGCATCCCCAGCGACTCATGGGACTGCCATAGGACTGCAGAAACGGCCAGGGGTGGTGCCAGGGGGGAGTCAATGGGGCGGCATATAATTCAAGTTGTTCTTTCCATACATGAAGTCTATGGGATCTGTTTTCCTGCGCGAACGGTCCATTCCCAGAACTGCTCAGAGTTTTTTGACCCTCACCTTTTGGTCGGAATACAGAAGTGACCATAGTGACCCTTTGACGGGCCTCACTAAGAGACCTCAGTTCTCAATCGTTTCTCCTCCAAGGTGAGCAAGTCCGAGGCCATGCCGAAACTCAACGAGGAGACGCGGCTCGGCAGGGCGCGTGTGTCGCCAAATTGGCGGCGCGGCGCTTGAAGAAAAAGCGCGCCAATCGGAAGCTCTTCGAATCCATGAAGACTCGTCCAGGTCGGCTTTGAGGGGCCGGGAAAGGGTTGTTTTCGAAGACTTTCTGGGCACTTCTGAACACTTCGAGATGCTCTTTCGGATCGATCAGCTGGAGAGTTGGGACATGAGGTTAAGGTTCCAGCCACCTCACTGCAGTGTCCTGGTGGACCCCGGTTGGCTCCTTGTGACTTAATGGGGACTTTTGAAACCAGGCATCATGCATGGAAGTAGCCCCACCCCGCAGACGGACTAAGATGGACCAGAAATTCACTCCTCGAAGACCATGTGTCCGAATACCAACCCGGTTTTGGGAATACAATCTGCGGGGGAGAACTCGAAACAATTATACCCAGCACCTTCCGTTTGCCTAGTCTGGTTTTGGGACGCCCCGACCTCTCTACTGCTACTTAAAGGCTATTAAGATATCCACCTCAAACGAAATGTATATATGTTTGAAGTGATACAAGAACATGTTCAGAGCTCATCCATTTTGATCCGTTCGCTTTCCAGAGCGCAGGTGTTCAGAATTCCACATGTTCCCAAGAAGTTGTGTTGCAAGTCGGGAAATTGGAAGAACTATGAACGACAATTTCCATGTTCCACACATTCCATACTTTTTCGGACGACCATCAGAATCTTTGGAACAGCTTGCCACGCGCGCGGTTGGTTGGTCAGAGTACTGACATGAGTGGAGACATGTCACATCACATGACAAAAGTTGGTCTCGATCCTCAAGCTTGAATGTGGGTTGGTCTGAGTTAAAGAGTAGAGCGTGAGGCTCAGGCTTGGGGGTGTCCCATGACCTTTTAGAGATGGAAAAGGCCTGGGTTGCAGGCCCCATCCACTGGATCCAAGGATCCAAGATGATCCAAGGATCCAAGGCCGGTGAGGATGAGTCTCGCTGAGGTTAAAGACCTTGGAGATGGATCCTGCCAACTTGAGTTTCTGGGAGCTGGTCTAGTTCCTTCGCTTTCGGACAGATGTCTTGCTGTAGTGACACGTCCGACACTGTAGGAAGCATGGCAGACGGACGCACTGCAGCACGTGCTCGTGCTCTGACCAAAAAATAGGTTCATATGTTCTGTTCAGGACAAGAGAAACATCCAAAGATCATCATTAATTGTAACATGATGTAACATGTAATAAATGTTCGTTATGACAGATACTCCGTCCTGGAAATCAAAATCAAAGCAAGCTTTTCCTAATGTTATCTATGCAGCAAAACTGGTGTTTGCTTGGGGCTCTGCAGGAATACCCCACGGAGTTGAGGTTGAATGAACTGGCCTCAAAGCCTACAACATCTGAAACACACCCATGACAATGGAAGAGCTGAAGCTCCTCCTGCCACGTTTGTCTCAAACACTGGGCCGGCTCACAGAGATCGACCAGGTTGTCTAGAGCTTTTGGGCCGAATCCAAGAAAGATGGAGAATACAGAATACATAAAAATACAAATTATATAAAACGCCCTAGAAATCCAGTGGACTTGGCCAGTCTTGAAAAAACATGACAATGTGTTGTTCAACACATATTCTCTTGGACTTCTATAAGGGCAAAGTGTCAAACTCTGTGTGGGCGAAATGATCCGTAGCTGCCACGCAGCGATATGATCTGTGGCGCCCCCCCCCGACTCGGATGGTTTGGATGGCCGTGAGGGGTGTAGAATCAATCTTGGACTGTTCTGGAATCACTGCAACAAGGTACTGGACTGTGAGGGGGTTCTTGGATGGGGTTAAAATCATCGTACATCTAGGAGGGTTTCGGACATGTTTTTGGTTAATCCATAGAACATCCCATTCTGAGTGACAGCCCAAGAAGGTTTCGATCGATTTAGTTGGCGCACGCGCGCGCGATGCTGACGCTGCGCTCTCCACTGGAGTGCACGCTCTTCATGTGCGCCAAGCGCACATGTTTTGCGGGCGAGAACGTGTCAAAGAGAGCCACGTGGGAGGGGTGGCTGTTCGATCTCCATATATCGCTGTTCGGTTCAAGATGAAGACCCACAGGAGTTATCGATCTTCCGCTCGGGAGTCAGCACAAGGTGACTCGATGGAAGAATTTCTCCCCCAAAAAGACATGTTCCTGATTGATGACCTCGTCAAGGGACGAAGCCCGGAGCCCAACGATGCCGCCCGTTGTGTGGCAAGTGGAACGACTGTGCCACCCGGGCCGACTTGTCTAACTGGGTAGACCTGTGCACACGAAGGGGCGTTTGTTCCATGGAGATCCATAGGTATATTGGGTTTCCAGGAAAGTACCTTCTCAGAAGGTACAGCTCGACCCTTCAAATCTACATAACAGCTCATAATGGCTCCAATCACCTAACCTGAGGTTCAGTACTTTCCTGGATCCCTAGGGGCCCGGTTGGGGCCCTATAGGGTAGGGAGGCCCCGAGACAGGAAGCTGCTTGGTCCCTTGCACCTCCATTGTCCCACCGACCGGAGCGACCGGAGCGACCGGAATTGGGACGGCATGAGGAGACACTCCACACAGATCAGCCTGACTCACGTCACTAATCGATCAGACCATTCCCTATTGGGTTTTGCTCGAGAGGTGATTGGTGATTCTTTTAATGTAAGGGGCGAGTCCCCTTTTTGCTGAATCATTTTGGTCTTTCTTCCCGGTTCCTCAAAGCAAATCCAAGTAAGGGTCCAGCACCATCCGAATCGAATGTCCTGCTGTCGGCCCCAGTATACGACCCTTCTCTTGTTTCATCCGAAAAGGAACCCTAGGCCTCCAGTCGTACCTTCTGAGAAGGTGGGACTGGGGTGGGTGCCCTCGTCGCGTCCAGTCATACCTTCGTTGAGGTACGACTGGAGGTGTAGGGGAAGTGGTCCCCAACTTTCACCCATCAGGAGGTCCGAACGGAGCTCCGACCAGCCAGCTCCGTAGGTGAGTCCTGGGGGTCTCGTGCGGTTGGTGGCACCCTCAGGCGGACGGGGGCGGTGGTGGAAGGAGGTCAGTCGGGGGTGATGAAACGGTCGCCAGGTGGGACAGGAGTAGTTGAGGTATCCACTCTTCCAGTCCCGTCATGACTCAAATCTCATAAACAACTACCCCATATATGAGTCGTCGCGGATCATCACTGCGAAAAATAGGGGGTTCTAATGAGTCAAGTTCCGGAAGTTCCGGGATGTTGGTGTATGAATTGGGTACCAAAAGAACAGAGGTTCTTGCAACTGCTCCTGTCTGGCAGACGACAAGAGTTTGGTACCTGGAGCATGAGACACAGACTTGACGGGACTTCGGATCGCGCTGGAGAAACCACGAGCGGGCCCCTGGAGAAACCACTGTCATCCAATCCCAGACCATCCATGGGACTGGCATATGTACCTACATTGGGATGGTTTCAGGTTGGCGTCAATGTAGTATGTAAATATGCTATAATTACTTGGATGGTTTGGGAATGGTTACAGGCTTTCAGCAGGACCTGATGTCTTTTTTGCCGGATGAACCGGCGCCCCACAGGAGCCGAAAACGGAGGTCTTCAGAACCTTCAGTACTCATACCTGAAGCTTCCAACGATGCAACATGGGACTGCCAACCCCAGACACGACTCATTGGGCTGCCATAGGACTGCCTTCAAAACGGCCAGGGGTGGTTGAATCGGGGGCGTCTGTCTGGGGCAGCAGTCCTATGGCAGTCCTCTGGAGAGGTTGGGAACGATCTTTAGATGAAAAGGCAGAACATTTGCACAGTTGGAAGATCAGTAGCCCCACCTTCCCACCTTCCCAGCAGTGCTTCCACCTGTCGGGTCACCGGTGCACCACCGTCCGGTCAAACGAACTTAACGGTATCTTGCCTTTTTCTTCGGGAACACCTGTGGATCACTTACAGGTCACCGGGGACAGGACATTTTGGGACACCTCAACAGCCCAAGATGCGAAGTGGCAAGATCCTTGGTGAGAAGTACGGGCAAATTTGGAACCTCCAAATCATCTCAAATCCAGTTTGGTCCTTACACCTTACATTCAAGCTTCCTTGGGAATCGTTTCACTGGGAATCGTTTCACCTGTAGTAACAAAAAGCTACTAGGCTACTAGTAGATCTTTGAAGCTATACTAAGTAGTAGCTTTTCAGCAAGCAACGCTGCGGCCGACTCAAGCTCATCCGGTACCGAGAGAGGTCCCGACGAGGTCCCGACGCATCCGCCGCAAGGCTTCAGCTTCGGTCAGCCCTGCAATGCCTCGGATCTGCCGGCCCGGACACCTGAAGGGTTCCGCCGATGCAGATTGGCGGGACACGCCTCCGGGCGGTGAGGTCGACCTCATTGTTTTTCCAGTAGGAGGTCAGGGTGCGAATGTGGTTTGGGGGGTGCAAAGCGCTCTTTCAATTACTTTTGGGGGGTTCTGCAGAGTGTGAAATGCAGCTTTTTGAGAAGGTATATGGATGCATGGGATTATAGAGTGGTTCAGTTGTTCCCTTCGTCGCACAAAAAATCGGTTGTGTAGGAAACGGAGAGACCGGAGAGACACCGTCAGAAAACGAACAAAGCACGGAAAGCACTGTCACACCATTGGATTGATGAGCCATTCTGAGGTAGTGACCTCACTCCAAATCCACCTCTTTCAAATCCCCAAAACGCCTCAGGAACTATGTGATTCTGCGATATTCCGCATTGCGTTGTGATAATTGATGAGTTGTTAGGAGCCGTGGTCAACCATGATTCCAGTCATCTCCAAGCTACATCCCTCCAGAATCACTCAAGCACGCATCGTTTACAAACCAGCAGTGGTGAGTGTTTGCCCTTTCCGCCGAAACGTGAAGTGTTTTCACCGAGCGTGTGGGTGGGGTCAACTGGGTTGCTTTTGGGGATTTTGCTGTGATGACTATTGTGGGATTTTGAGACAGCAGAATGCCACACCAAATCGTCCAAATCAAACAACATCTTGTGTCCGGCTTTGCTTCTTCAGTTGCTTGCTAACGGAAAGGTTGGTTTGGTGTAAGAGGGTTACTCTAGTCAGCTGTTCAAGTGAGTTACATTGAAAACCCCGATGTATACGGATTCTTATCAGGAGTTGCACCAAACAAGTTTTAAGAAAGAAGCCGTCCTGCAGCTAATTCGAGCGTGAAAAGCTTTGTTTAGCCCCAGAACCAGGCAAACACCTCATTCTTTTTGTGAATCTGCGAACGCCAGCGGGGCTGCAAGCTACCTAGAGGAATGATGCGCCGCTGCAGGCGATGTAAGCAAACCTGGAACAGTCAGCAGCTGCGCATGAAAGAATACAAGAATAATTGAAGGACTTCACGAAGGGTGGAGGGCAGAGATGGCAAAGTGGGACTTGTTCACAGGTGAGGTCCTATCCCACACTGCTTTCAGCCATTCCGCTTGCTTGTCATGATGGCTCATCATCCTTACCTGAACAAAATCAAGGATCGGTTGCACAATGCTGACGTGATCCCCTTGATTGAATCAGAGGTCGAAGGCGGCCCTCATCAAGGGGTACTCCAGCAAGTCAGATGTTAGCCAATGAATTTCAAATGTCTGGGAGCTCTCAGGCTCTCAGATGTCGGATCTTTACTGACCGTGTATCCAACGATGCGAACCCAGCTGATTGGCCATCAGTGCACGGACCTGGATCGAGAGAGGGATGACCTCGATTCTGCGGATCGGGGGTACTGGGAGCGTGCATGATGACGATCCATCCAACCCGCTTGGCGTCCTACCCCGAGCAGCTCGGGTATGTAGCTATTGGGTCCACACTGAAACAAAGATGTCCGATGGCAAGGTCTTCCATTCGCATGAGCTTCGTGACATGTATGATGAAGATGATGACAATGTTTATGTGCGTTTATGTGGCCCTTGATGAAGGGTGCAACTCGACATGTCACAGCTCGTATTGGATGTCCATGGCCGAGAAGAAGTTCGAATGTTTGGGATGCAGGATTGATTGTTTGTCCAAGGATGGGAAGACCTTTGCTGGGTTAGGATCGAGGGTTGTCGTCTCATGTCGTTTTCCCTTCGACTGGATGATGAAGGGTCCCTCATCAATGGCATTTTGCAAAAGTCACCAATTGACAGAAGGCAAGTCCCCCATGTTGCTTTCGTTGCACGCAAAAAAAAAAAACACATCTAGG